TAGTTACTGGCTCCTGCTTCAGACAGGCCAGCCCTGTCGTTTGGGAAGTAAACTAGTGGATAGCAGCTCTGTCTTTTCCTCTCTTTCTGTAACTGGTTTTTAATGAGAGAGAAAAGATGTTTGATGCAATCTTTGGGCACAGTGGTTAGGACACTGCTTAGAACACCTGCAGCCTTTATCAAAGTGCCTAGAGTCCTTATCAGTAGTAGTGGTTCCTCTGCTTTTAATTCAGCTTTCTGCTAGCATCTCCTTTGGGATGATGGCTCAAGTGCTTGGCTCCTTGCTACGCATGTGGGACACCAGGGCCGAGACCTAACCTCCTGTGTTTACCCAGGAATTGAGTACTGCTGCTCAGGTGTGAGACACTGGCATCCTAACCAACAGCTTAGCTGCTGGTCCAAATGCCTGCCTCTCAAATATAACTTTTGTAAATGAGAACGACATTTGTAGGGCAGGTTTGGAAGAGGCATATTCTTTTCTTTGCTGTGGAAGAATTTTATTTCATTTTCAAAGACAAAAGAAAGCTTTGCTGGATATGTTATCCTGGTTGACAATTTTTTTCTTTCAGAATCTGGAATATGTCACTCCATTCTCTTCTTGCCTGTAGAGTTTCCTGTGAGTTTAATTGGCATTCCTGGGCCTGGCACAATAGCATAGTGGTTAAAGTACTCACCTTGAACGCGCTGGGATCCCATATGGGTGCCTTATGAGCTCCATTTCCCATCCAGCTCCCTGCTTGTGGCCCGGGAAAGCAGTCAAGGATGGCCCAAGGCCTTAGGACCCTGCACCTGTGTGGGAGATCCAGAAGAGCTCCTGGGTTCGGATTGGCTCAGCTCCAGCCATTGCGGCTGCTTGGGGAGTGACCCATCAGATGGAAGATCTTCCTCTCTGTCTCTCCTCCTCTTGGTAAATCTGCCTTTCCAATAAAAATAAATAAATCTTTAAAAAATTGTCATTCCTTTATATGTCAATTGATTTTTTCACATGCACATTTAAGGATCTTTTCCTTATGTTCAATTGTGTTGTGGTGAAGATTGCTTTTGATCAAGCGTGTTGGGAGTTCTGTGGCCCTCCTGGATGTTGTTTCCCATTTCTTTCTCTAGATTAGGGAAATTTTCCCTGTAAATGACAACTACAAGAGGCTGGGGGTAAATTACAAGGAATTGGACTAAGAGCAGATTAAACATTAAAGAAAAAAAATTGTGAACCTGTAGGCACAGCAATAGGAATTAGTCAGAACATTTAGAGGGGGGGAAAAAGTCCAAGAAAATTCAACAGTATGTGTATCAGTAACCCTTGTAGTGACATATCATATGAGTAAGTAAGGTCCCAGGAGAAATGGAGGAAGCAGAAAAGGTATATGAATAAATAAAAGCCAAAAATGTTTCAAATTTAATTAAAACAATGAAGTGATCTTAAAAAGAAATCAACAAATCTGAAATACAAGAAACATGAAGAAAAGTATATAAAGGCCAATCATAAACTGATCAAATTATTAAAAAAAAAAAGCAGGAAAAGAGAGATGGGAAATGTTATGTACAAAGATAAGAATGAGAGCAGCTTTCTCATTGGACATGGTGCAAGAGACAACAGAGGTACAAAATCTGTAATATGTCAGGAGGAGGAGGAGAGGGGCAAGGGGAGAGGAAGAAAGAAGCATGAGGGGAGGGGAGGCAAGGGGCAGAAGAAAGGTGCCAGCATGGTTAACAGGAGTCCCTTGGGCATGAAGAAAAATGATGTCAAAAGGACACTGTATTTGAAATTTAGGCAACAAGTTCAGACCAGGCATTTTAAGAACAAGGAGAGCACTAACATGATAACTCCACGTGAATATATAACATTTTCTGATTGAGTCTCTAAAAGTTACTTGATAATTTAAACAAAATAACGTGGAGCTTAAAACATGAATAATAGGTAAGCTATAATCACATAGGTTACATGTATAGGCTTATATTATCATATAGACAATAGTAGCATAAGTGCTGGGAAGTGAGAAATTAAGGTACCATAAGGTTCTTATGAGTGCAAAATCACTTGAATGTAGCATGTAAATGAGTGCTGAAATCTATAAAGTAACCACTAAAGTAAGAAAGAGTTACACAGTGAATAAACTAGCAAAGACGACACAACAGAATCATAAAAAGTACTTAATCCAAACAAGGCATGCGACAAAGAACAAATGAGACAAAACAAAAAGCAGGAGAAAAAGACTTTAACTTGACTCCATCAACAAACACATTAAATGAAAATGCTGTAAGCATTTAACCTCTAACATGCCAAATAAAGGTAGAGAATTTCAGGTACAATAAAATAGCTAAACTCAATTACATGCTGAATGTTACAGACTCTTAAAAAGGACAACAAATTTAAAACAAATTAATATATTTTTTATTGGAAACAGATTTACAGAGAGGAGAAACAGAAAGATCCTCCATCTGCTGGCTCACATCCCAAGTGGCTTTAATGGCCAGAGCTGAGCTGATCCATAGCCAGGAGCCTCTTTCTGGTCTCCCACATGGGTGCAGGGTCCCAAGGCTTTGGACTGTCCTTGACTGCTTTCCCAGACCACAAGCAGGGAGCGGGATGGAAAGTAGAGCAGCCAGAATATGAACTGGAGCTCATAAGGGATCTGGCGCTTGCAAGGCGAGGACTTTGCCCACTGGGCTATTGCGCTGGCCCCAAATTTTTAAAAATTTTACATGAAACATGAAAAATAAAAAGGATAAATTATATGGCTTTAGGACAGAGATGCTAAGATATAGAAAGAAGATCAACTTCTAAGATAAAAAATTAAAAGCATCTTTTGAGCCCATTATAGAGCTTCGGTCACAGAGAACTCACCTGAAATCTGGAGTTAGGGGTGGGGGAGGACAGGGACTGCAAAGGAACTTCTGTTTACCTGAGCCTGCTTCCAGTGCAAGGTGAGATGAAGGCTGCATTGGAACGTTTTAGTAAACACCCAGAACAGGCTGGAATGGGGGAGGGGAGGGAGTGGCTGCTAAACACTCAGAACAGGCTGGTATTGGGGGGGGGGCTGCTAAACACCCAGAACAGGCTGGTATGGGGGGGCTGCTAAACACCCAGGACAGGTGGTATGGGGGGGCTGCTAAACACTCAGAACAGGCTGGTATGGGGGGGGGGGGCTGCTAAACACCCAGAACAGGTGGGGGGGGGGCTGCTAAACACTCAGAACAGGCTGGTATGGGGTGGGCTGGTGCCTTCGGGAGCCTCCAGACCTCACACAGGACTGGGCAGGCTTGATGGCTCAGTTAGCTAATCTTACCCTTGCAAAGTGCTGTGCTCCCACTTGGGTGCCGGTTTGTGTCCTGGCTGTTCCACTTCCCATCCAGCTCCCTGCTTGTCGCCCGTGAAAGCCATAGAGGATGCTGCAAAGATTTAGGAGCCTCCACCCACGTGAGAGACACGGAGGAAGCATTTGGATCCTGGCTTCAGCTCAGCTCAGCTCCAGCCCTTGTGGCCATTTGGGGAGTGAACCAGCAGATGGAAGATCTCTCTGTCTCTCCTCTCTGTAAATATGATCTGCCTTTTACCTATAAAAATAAAATCTTCCACATCATAAATATAACAATTATGCTGAAACAGAAAAACACCTTAAAATACAACTGATCAGAGCTATAAAAGCAGAATGAACCTTGAATAGCCCTGTATCTAATGAAGAATTTTAATTTGTGGTTAAAATCTTCCCATTGAAAAAAAACTCTAAGGAAAATGTTTATATTGGAGGCAAGCACTTTGTTGTAGTGTAACGGGTTAAGCCGCTGCCTACAATACCAGCATCCATATGAGCCGGTTCAAGTCCCTGGTACTGCACTTTGCATTCAGTGTCTAGTGTATTCACTGGGAAAGCAGCAGAGGATTGGCCAAATCCTTGGATCCTTGCACCCATGCAAGATCCTGGCTGCTGAGTTCGGCCTAGCCCAACTCCGGCAAATGCTTATTCCACGTACAACTGGTTTTTTGAAACCAATTTTTGACAAAGCTGCAGAAGCAGGTCAGCGAAAAGCAAAAGTTGGTGAACAAGCTAACATATATCCATACGCAAAACAGTGACTTAGGATCCACACCTTGCTGCCCAAGCAAAAGTGAGCTGGTATGATCAATGGCCTTAAATGGAAAAATTAAACCTTAAAACCTTGATCAGAAAGAGAAGCTCCGTGGCCACGTATTAGGGAGGCTTCTCACAACGATTAAAAATCGCTTCTGAACAAATCGCAAGGGCCGCCCTGCGTCCCCACTCCTGGTCCCGCCCCTCCATTCAGGTTCCGCCCATCCGCCTGCTCTCCCTCCCCGGCCCCGCCCCAGCTCCCCCACGTCCCGCCTCCCCACTTCCGACCCCGCCCCAGCTGCAAAACGCCCCGCCTTCCCACTCCGACCCTAGACCTAGCCCCTCCGGGTCCCGCCCCCGCTCCTTGCGTCCAGGCCCCGCCCACCACCCCGCCCCGCTCCTTCCAGGCCCCACCCCCGCCCCTTGCGTCCAGGCCACGCCCTCCTCTCCCAAGCCCCGCCCTCCACTCCCGCCCCTTCCAGGCCCCGCCCTCCGCTCCCGCCCCTCTGCGTCTAGGCCACGCCCTCCACTCCCGCCCCGCTCCTTCCAGGCCCCGCCTTCCACTCCCGCCCCTCTGCGTCCAGGCCCCGCCCTCCACTCCCGCCCCTCTGCGCCCAGGACCCGCCCTCCACTCCCGCCCCTCTGCGTCCAGGCCCCGCCCCCACTCCCGCCCCGCCCCTCGGCGTCCAGGCCCCGCCCCACCCCGCCGCCCTAGTGCCTGGCGGGACGCGCGCCCGCGGCCGCACCCGGAAGAGGCGCAGGCCGGGAAGCTGGGTCGGAGCGGGGCTCGGCGTCCGCCGGCAGCGCGGGGGGAGCCCACCGGGCGCGAGGTCGGCGGCGGCGGCTCCGGAGGCCACGCGCACGCGCGCCGCTTCTCCCCGGCCCCCTCGCGTCCCCGCCGGCCGGAGCTCTCGGCGCCTCGGCCTCCCAGGCGGCTTCTGAGCCGGCGTGTCCCCGCGTAAGTGACAGGCGTCCCCTCGTTTCACGGAGTTGAGTTTTCATGGCACGCAGTGAGTCGCTAGTCTCACCCATGTTCTTTTTACTTAACAAACTTGCACTCCGGCGTCAGGCAGCGAGGGAACTGCCTGGCTGTGCGGCCGGGAGGCGGGCAGAGCCCTGCCGAGGTGTCGTCGGGCAGGGGCTGCGAGCAGAGCCTTCTGCGGGATCCGCGGGAAAGTTTGGGAAGAAAGCCTGCGAGAAGGGGCCCACTCCACGTTTGCCCGGCGCCAGCGGGAGAGGGGGCGGGCCTTGGGCGTGGCCTCAGCGCGGAGGGCGTGGCCTGGGCGGGGCTCCCGGCAGGTGCGGCTCGGCGGGGCGGGGCTATCGCGAGTGCAGCACGCGCCCCGCGGGCAGCTTGCCACCTGCTTTTTTGGAGCCTGGTTTTGGTTAAGAGGGGAAAAAAAAAAGTTCGAAGTATAACCGGTGAACAAAAAAAAGAGGAGGACTTGAAGACTCTCTTGGTGGAAGGATTAACAACGGATTTAGAAAACAGCGGATTGATTAATCTCTTCTATGCATGTGTTGAAAGCGAATGCTGTTTTCAAATATAGAAATCACTGGGCTAATGAGGTGAAATTTAACACCTGATAGTAGTTTGAACCTCGAATTCTCAGCTGCCATGCAACTGTTTTCCTAATTGTTTAGTTTGTGGCTCTAGACTTAATATGCGTTTACAGAATCTAAGCTATTCTCTTCTTACCTCATGAAAATCCAGCTTTTTGTTTTTGTGTTTGTAAATATTATGTAGTCCTTCCCAAGTGCGTTTGTCTCGATTTGCATGACTTCACCGAAAACAAATTACTCATCAGTGAGGTGGCCGTGGTTTATTTTCACTGTCTCTTTTGTGCATGCCTTTATTCATCTCAATCTAACACTCTCCTGTCCTTGTCAGGATTTGTAGCCTAACTATCATAAAGCCTTACAGTTTTCATCCTCCCATTGTATTAGGTTCTCAGAGAAGGCAAACTATTTCTAACAGATAGTATGTAGCAAATATTGAGAATGCTGAACTGCAACTTAATGGTAATCATCATTAATCTGCATATTCAGTGAGCCTAGTGCAGTAAGTCAGGGATAAATTAAAGAAGACAAAGTACAGGTCTGCTGCAGTGTTCTGTTTAAAAAGCAATCGTTTTTTATTGGAACAGCTCGTTTGTAACTCCTTCTGCCACCTCTGAGATTTGTCATCTCATTTAGATTTAATCCTCTCCTGGGTACTCCTGTTTATGCATTTTGCTGCTGATAGAGTACTGTGGCAGTAGCTTTAGTTCCCTGAGAACATAAAGCATTTGTTTATTGTGTTTTTTCATTTGCTGGCTGTACATGGTACACCTTAGGAAATGGGCTTTGTTTTGGGTTTATACAAATGTGATTTGCGATCTGACTGTATATTTGACCAAAAAAAAAAAAGTGTTGGTAGGACCTTTACATTCACATATAGGTTTTCCTTTAAAGATGGCTGCTGCAGGGCTTGGGGAATAAGGCGGGCACGGTGTATGTGTATGTGTTTTTAATCCCGATTGTAATTTCGAAGACTTGATGTTTTTCTCGTTTTTCCTTGCTTGTTGTACTCTTGACAGCTGTTTGTACTGAAACCAACGGTTTTTGCTAGGTTAGGAAGAAGAAATAAGAAGTAGTCTCCAAATAGCAGTTTGCAGAGCCAGTCCGTCAAATTGATCAAATTAGAATTGGCTGTCAACCTGATTAGTATTGTTTTGTTTACGTAATAAAATAAACATGAATGGATGTGTGTATAAAGTATAGGTGGAAAACATCTGGCCCTTGATCCTTACAAGGCCTGCAAAATCATTGGCCTGGTCCTGCAAAGATAACTGCAGACAGTTATTGAAACTCAATAAATCTTTGGCTAATTTTAAGTTTATTATTTTGTGTGGCCCACAGAAGATGCTATAAATATCTAAGGGAAAAAAGAAGTTAAAAATAGTTTCTTCAGGTGAAAAGACTAGTGTTTAGGATTTTATAGTTGAGAGCAAATATCTGTAGATGGAATATGACCCAAGCAAAGGCAAGGACCTTTTGGATATATTATATAAACTGTAATATTTTAATATAAATTTAAGGGGTAGGGCCAGGTTGAAGAAAATATATGAGAAGTGTTTTGAATTTCAGTAATTTGTGCCAACCTAGTGATTTTTCTTAATTTTAACTCCTCTCATTTCTAAATAACTGCAATTTAGGTCTGTTAAGATATGAAATGTTACTATTTTGTGATTACCAGGAAGTGAAAGTTAGGATGATTTTTAACCAAGAGATCTTTTTTGCTGAAGCGTGTGTATTTTGAGCATCAAAGGTCTAATATGTGCTTTTCTTTTCTTTCATCTTCTTTTTTTTTAATAGCCTAGAGTCAGGATGAATACTGATCAGGTTGCCCTGGTTGGCCAGGTGTTTGAGTCCTATGTTTCAGAGTACCACAGGAACGATATTCTCCTCATCCTGAAGGAAAGAGATGAAGAAGCTCATTTCTCCGTTGTAGTTAATGCCATGACTCTTTTTGAGACCAACATGGAGGTTGGGGAGTACTTCACCGTGTTCCCCAATGAAGTACTGACTGTTTTTGATAACGCGCTCCGAAGGGCTGCCTTGACAATTCTTCAGTCCCTTTCACAGCGCAAGGGCGTCTCCATGAAACAGAATCTTCATGCCAGGATATCAGGTAAATCACATAAGAGTTTCACTGTTCTGTGATTTTCTGGGAAGATTCTCAAGGAATATTTGATATTTATATTTCAGATGCACGTCTGTTGAATAGCTGGTGATCTCTTGTCTTGCTGACTGTCTTCTCTGTCACCCACGGGTGAGAGAAGGGGTGGGAAGCAGCATGTTTACGTGTCTGTTTGCTCACATTTGTGTGTGTGCGTAAAATTTTTGTCTCATACATCATTATAAGCTTTTATGACAAGTTACAGGAGAAGAAAAATGGTAGGTCCTGCCTAATAATCTTCAAAACTATTTTAGATAATCATTTTGTATGTCAACATTACCATTCTGCTCTTCCTTCAATATATTACATATTTGTTTTTAGTTCTTCAGTATCTTCATTTTTAAGAAACTATAGCAGTGGAGCAGTTGACAACTTGGCAAAGCTTGATCCTTGAATTCTTGCCTCCAGGTTTGACTTTACATTCTAAGAGTCATTCTTAGTGGATGGAATTAAGGGATGTTCAAAAGGAAGCCTGCATTGGGCTGAAAGGCTTTAGCCATTACCTGGGACATTTGCATCTCAGATCTCAGTGCCATTTCTGTTCTGGCTGTTCTGCTTCTGATTTAGTTCCCTGCTGGGACAGTCCCAGGAGGGAGCTCAGGTGCTTGGGCCCCTGCCACCCACATGGAAGGCCAGTTGGAGTTTCTGGCTCTTCACTTTGGCTTGGCCCAGCCCTGGCTTTTGCAGGCACGTAAGGAGTGAACCTGTGGGTGGAAGCCATTTCTTTCTTTTTCTGTGTTGCTGTCTGCCTCTCAAATACTATATTCCTGAATGATAGTAGTTTTTCTACTTCTTACTTGTTGAATTTTTTATTTAGTGGAGGGTTGAGCTTGTGATTATAATGTAAATTGGAAGTCTGCCATTGTAAAAATTAAAGGAGGACTTTGGGAAGGAGAGAGGGTAGAGTGGGCAATATCGTTATGCTCTTAAAACTGTATATATGAAACACATGAAATTTGTTCCATTTATGTAGATTTTTGCAAAGGAAAAAAATAATAAAGCAGCTCAAGGTTGTAGGGAAAGAGATATGCAGTTGAATGTGTACCAGATGGTACATGTATGACTGCAAGTATACATGCTAAACACAATGGTAAAGGAGCTCTAACGGCAGTGTTTCTTGGGAGCATGTCTCAGAAGATGTAGAGGGTGTATCATCTCACAGAAAAGGAAGTGTGCTCTGACCTAGGGTATCCCCAGAGGTTTCAAGAAGAGACGATGTGAAATGGCATTGTGGCACCACACGTTGCACTGTACGTTAAACCGCCACTTGTGGGGGACGGGGTGCCCCACCTCCACTTCCACTCTTGCTTGCTACCCTCTCAAGTGCTTGTTTTCCTGCTCTCCACGGGGAAAGAATCAGCAGATGGAAGATCTCTTTCTCTATTCCTCCCTCCCCCAACTCTCTGCCTTTGAAATAGATAAATATTTAAAATCAGAAGCAACACTCCATTTATTAATTTGCTTCTACCCATTTCCATTCTTCACAAGCTGCTTTCTGATTATTGTTGTTAGTTGAATTTTAGTGTCTGTGTCAGTAGAGAAAATTCTATTGACAATAGAAGCTGAAGTTTTTAGGATACCTGTTATAGTTATTTATCATGAGCTTGTTAAATCTAATGGAGCAGTCTTCAATGTGGAGATGTATTAGTATTTGTTTTTAAGATTTATTTGTTTTTATTGGGAAGACAGTTTACAGAGGGAAGGAGGGATTGAGATAAAGATCTTCCATCTTCTGGCTTACTCCCCAAATGTCTGCAGTGACCAGTGCTGAGATGATCTGAAGCCAGTCCAGATTTTCCACATGGATACAGGTTCCCAAGGTCTTAGGCCATACTCCAGTGCTTTGGTAGGCCATATGCAGGTTGCTGAACTGGAAATAGAGCAGCCAGGACATGAACCAGTGTCTGTGTGGGAGGCTGGCACTAGGAGGTGCTAGATTAGCCAGTTGAGTCAACATGCTGGCACCATGTGGCAGGTTTTTTAGCTACTAAATTCTAAGGACAAAACAGTGGGCCATGGAACATGAACCTGCATATCAAGTGCTGCTCCAGCTAGTCTGTTAGGAGGCAGGTACCCTTTGACCTTCCCAGCCAGCTTCTTTCTGTTTAGGTATGCATTGTAGCTATGGGTAAGGTAGAAGGCATTTCTGCACAAGACTTTTGTTTGATATTTTGTACCTTTTCAGTTGCCTTTTTTTAATGTTGAAAACAAGTTTTTTAAAGGATGAGATGATACTATGCATAAACCTCTTTATGGTTCAGTGCTTGAAAACACTGAGACTTAAGTAATAATTCCTGAACTGAACTTCAAGAGGTGAAAAAGTTACCTTGTGAAACTCTTTGGTCATTGTTCTGCTCTTCTTTATCACTGTGCTTTGTAGCTTTTTGAAGGAATCATCAGCTTGTTTTATGTGTGGCAAGCAGTACTGTATTCTTTGTTAAATATTAAAATCATGTACCATATTTATATCCTACTGAAACAGGTAATCTGCTTTTAAAATTCTCAATATGATAGCATGTAGAGATGTCCTTTCAAAAGAGCCATTGATAATTATTTTAAATTTTTAAAAATTTAGTCAGTGGTCTAATTTTTTATGAAGTCAAGGACAGAGCTTTTTTTTTTTTTTTAAATCCTTAAGATTGTTCTTTCTCTCAGGAAGTGTGTGAGGAGTATATATTATGTGGGGTCAAATCTTGTTACACAGGTTGATGTAATTGTTTCTTTCCCCATCAGGTTTGCCTGTCTGTCCTGAGCTGGTAAGAGAGCATATTCCTAAAACCAAAGATGTTGGACATTTTTTATCTGTCACTGGGACAGTGATTCGAACAAGTCTGGTGAAAGTGCTGGAGTTTGAACGGGAATACATGTGCAATAAATGCAAGCATGTCTTTGTAGTCAAGGCTGACTTTGAACAATACTACACCTTCTGCCGGCCATCCTCTTGTTCCAACCCGGGGAACTGTGATTCTTCAAAGTTCACTTGCCTCTCAGGCTTGTCTTCATCCCCAACCAGGTGTAGAGACTACCAGGAAATCAAAATTCAGGAACAGGTAAAAGATCAAAAAACTGAAAAAAATAAAAAGTGGTCTCCAGCTATGGGGAGATTGTTAGCATTAGCTAAGGAAGTCAGCAGTGATACAAATGAACTTGTGTCACTATCTGGATGTCTTAAAATGGACCCACGTGTATCAGGTTGTGGTCTTTAGATAGCATCTTTTTAGATAGAGCAAGGACCAGGAGGTGGTGTGTGGCATGATTTCATTGAATAATTATGTTAAAGAAGTGACTTGTTAAAATGTGTAAAACAGCTGTTCTTTTTGTTTGAAATTATTTGTTTGCTTGTTTGTTTGAAAGGCAGAATTACAGAGGGATAGAGGCAGAGAGAGAGCCAGAGGGAGAGTGAGAGTGAAAGAGAGAGAGGCTTTAACACTGGTTCACTCCCCAAATGGCTACAATAGCAGGAGCTAGGCCAGATTGAATCCAAGAGTCAGGAGCTTCATCCATGTCACCCACATGAGTGCAGGGACCCAAACACTTGGCCCATCTTCCACTGCCTCCCAGGTGCATTGTTGGGGAACTGAAGTGGAAAAGGAGCAATTGGGACTCAAACCTATGTTGTTATATGATGCTGGCCTTGCATGTGGTGGTTTTGCTTGCTATGCTACAGCACTGGCAACTAATCCGGATCCGGCCGCTTTTAAATAAAGGATAGGAAAAATGTTATTATTAATTGTTGTTGAAAGTTATGAACATTGTTTAACAAATGGAGTGGACCTGATTTTCCTCTCACTTGCAGCTCTAATGGAAAGATTGACTTTTTATCTAAAATCAATAGGAGAACATTAGTGCAAGGTGCACATGCAGGATCTGTGGTATCAAGGACTCCAATATCTTTTCTTTTTGTTCCACCATTCTGAACACACAGCTTCTGTTCTGATAGCTGTCTGTAGTCCGTGATCATGGTTGCAGCTCCGTCGTATCTGTGTTCTAGAAGTTATGAAGGAGATGGGCAAAGTTCCACCCATCTCACTAAGTTTCCATTTAAGCAGTTGTCTCTAGTACACTGTTCAGGTCTCAGTGGCTACAGCATGATCATATGATCATACAAAGGACCTGAAAAAGAGCCTTTTTTCTGGGCACTTACCCCATAGGGACAGGGAGCTGTGTTACTAAGGGATTGGTTGATTTGTTCCAGGTGTGTGACAAGATCAGGAAACAGCACCTTTCTTTTGCTTAATATGTAGAGAGCTTTCTTATTATGCTTAGTAGTTAGAACATATGTTTATTGTGATCATTCACAAAGGATTGTATGTGAAGACTTTTGCCACATTTGGATACAGGTACAATTTTCAAGAACACCTTCTTCATTCTCTGTCATAATTAACTCATAGGATTCTATACAGAAATGGACACGGTAGATTCAAGTGCTGCTTGAAAGTATCCAGAGGATACTTAGTGTGTATTTGAGCATGTTCTGTGTTCTCTTCCTTCCTAGGTTCAAAGGCTGTCTGTTGGAAGTATTCCAAGATCTATGAAGGTTATCCTAGAAGATGACTTAGTAGACAGTTGCAAATCTGGTAAGAAATAATTTTTGGTAGATTTCTGTGGGAAGTCCTGAAATACTAATTGGTCTAATACAATGTAAGCTAATGTCTTGAGCATTTTACTTCTCAGTATTGCATTAATTTCCATGCATTAGCTTTCTAAATTTTTACTATTGTTCTATTATTTAAATGTAGTCATTGTCAATTTGTGGGTCAAGAAATAGGTTTCGGAGCTGGCATTGTGGCATAGTGGATAAAACTATCACCTGCAGTGCCAGCATCCCACATGGGTGCTGGTTCACATACTAGCTGGTCCCCTTCCAGTCTTTTTCCTTGCTGATAGCCTAGAAAAAGTAGTGGAATATGGCCTAAGTGCACCCTACATGGGCTCTTAACTTTGGTCTGCCTTAGCCCTGGCCATTGCAGCAACATGGAGAATAAACCAGCAGAAAGGAGATCTGTGTCTGGCTGTCTCTCCTTCCTTCTCTCCCTGTAACTCTTTCTTTTCTTTTTTAAAGATTTATTTATTTTTATTACAAAGTCAGACATACAGAGAGGAGAGACAGAAAGGAAGATCTTCCGTCCGATGATTCAATTCCCAAGTGAGCTCAATGGTTGATACTATGCCGATCCGAAGCCAGAATCCAGGAACTTCTTCCAGGTCTCCCACACGGGTGCAGGGTCCCAAAGCTTTGGGCTGTCCTTGACTGCTTTACCAGGGCACCAGCAGGGAGCTGAATGGGAAGTGGAGCTGCCGGGATTAGAACCGACACCCATATAGGATCCCGGTGTGTTCAAGGCGAGGACTTTAGCTGCTAGGCCATGCCGCTGGGCCCAACTCTGACTTTCAAACAAGCAAATAAACCAATAAAAAAAGAGAAAAGAAAAACAAAAATAAACTCAAGAAAATTGGGGTAATTTGCCTTAAAAATAGTATAACCCATGTGATAAGTATGTGCCATCTTGGCTCCCTGCAGTATGCTACATTTCCCACAGAATCATTGTCAGTTGAGTTTAGACTTGAAACAATGTGTAAATATCTATTAGGTCCCTTGTTTGTTTAATGGAGAAACAGCTGAATATAATTTGTCAAAATGACCATAAATAAAACTATTTCATGTAAGTGCTTATGTATAAACTTGCCAAATCATTTTTATCTAAAAGGCTTATGGGAGCACAGTATAGTAAACCTTCATTATTTCTAATTGGGGTTTGAAAACCATCCAAACATGGTTTAGGAGACGTCTTGGGCTCCTCCTTATGCGTTGGTCACCACGCTGTATGAAATCGCCTCTAGCTGTACATGGCTTCTCTTGAATGAATTGGCACTGTTAGTTCTACACATTGAGCATTTACAGAATGCTTTTCTTCAGGAAATCAAAAGATATACAGATTTCTTAATACGGGTTAAAATTCAGAAGTAAAAGGTATTTGACTAATGTAAATAATATATAATTGGTGTAAAACTTGGAAGTAACTAATTAATTGCTTGTTAGTTTTGAGACAGTGTTTATTGTGTTAATTATAAATACCAGGGGATTGGCATTTTATCCTAGCTGTTAAATCTACCGCCTGCAATGCCAGCATACAGTATGGTACCAGTTCATGTCCTGGCTGCTGCATTCTAGTCTGTCTCAATGCTAATGGCCTGGGAAAAGCAGCAGAAGATGACACAGATCCTGGGATTCTGCCACCCATGTAGGAGACCTGCAAGAAGCTCTGGTGGTCCTGACCAGCACCGACCTTTGTATAAACACACACACACACACACACACACACACACACACACACACACACACAGGATTGGATTTGAGATATGTCTAACATACTATGTCCAATAAGATTACAATTTGAGGGAATTAGGATTGTATTTTTAAATGTTATTTTGGGCCCTTTTCTCTCGTACCAAAATATTGAGTGGTAAGCACTTGTATGTAAGCATTTATATGTGCAAACTTGTTCATGGGTGCATTGTAGCAACAAGCACAGATGCTCGTGTTTGGGGAATATGCCTCTGAGAAAAATGTGTGAAAACCTAGCATTCTTCCACTAGGAGTGAGGTGGGGAGGGTGGTTGTTCACACAGAAAGGAATCACCAAAAAGAAGCAGTGGAAAGGATCTTTGAATTAAAGTCAGCATTCATTCATTTCTTTACTCTTTGGCTGACTAGAAACTAAAAAAGACAGTAGTTGAAACATTAACAATTGTGATAAGTAAAAATGAACATGGAAGAAACTTCAGCTATGTCACCATAACTTTTTCCTCCTGACACCAAATTGATTGTTTTTTAAGCCTTCTGGCTGCAACTCCCACAATTCTTTTTTTTTTTTTAAGATTTATTTTGTTTATTGGAAAGTCAGATATACAGAGAGGAGGAGAGACAGGAAGATCTTCCGTCTGATGATTCACTTCCCAAGTGAGCGCAATGGCCGATACTATGCCAATCCGAAGCCAGGATCCAGGAACTTCTGGGTATCCCACATGGGTGCAGGGTCCCAAGGCTTTGGGCTGTCCTTGACTGCTTTTCCAGGGCACCAGCAGGGAGCTGGATGGGAAGTGGAGCTGCCAGGATTAGAAGCAACGCCCATATGGGATCCCGGCGCATTCAACGTGACGACTTTAGCTGCTAGGCCACGCTGCTGGGCCCAACTCCCACAATTCTTTAAATGAGAACTAAATGGTCACACTCTTAAGAGGATGAGCATTCCGTATAATTTAACAATAATGAGTACAACATGCAGTAAATTTTTCCCAGCAAGAGGCGGTAATTTGATGTAATTATCGTAGTTCAGATTAAAGGGTTAAACATACTGATTTCAGCTTTTAGCTATGCAGGTATCATTGCCTACAGAAAACAAAAATTTGAAAATTGGGATATTCTTTAACTTGATTTCTGGGTGTGTACACCCTACTAATGGAAGGTCTGAGCTCCCATTTCTGCTCATGTGAGTTGTGCCCCACATGCAGGGGCCTTCTGTTTTCACGTGATTCTTTCTTACAGGTGATGACCTTACTGTTTATGGGGTCGTAATGCAACGTTGGAAGCCCTTTCAGCAAGATGTGCGCTGTGAAGTGGAGATAGTCTTGAAAGCCAATTATGTCCAAGTAAATAATGAGCAGCCCTCGGGAATCATCATGGATGAGGAGGCACGGAAGGAATTTGAAGATTTTTGGAAATCCTATAAGAATGATCCTTTTGCAGGTATGTGATTAAGGGCATGGAGTTGATAGTTTTTTTTTTTTAAAGATTTATTTTTATTATTTTTTTATTGGAAAGGCGGATATACAGAGAGGAGATACAGAGAGGAAGATCTTCCGTCCGATTATTCACTCCCCAAGTGAGTGCAACAGGTCGATACTATGCCGATCTGAAGCCAGGAGCCTCTTCCGGGTCTCCCACGCGGGTGCAGGGTCCCAAAGCTTTGGGCCGTCCTCGACTGCTTTCCCAGGCCACAGGCAGGGAGCTGGAAGGGAAGCGGGGCTGCTGGGATTAGAACCGGCGCCCATATGGGATCCCGGGCGTGCAAGGCGAGGACCTTTAACCACTTGCGCCACCGCGCCGGGCCCAGGAGTTGATAGTTTTAATGGCATTACATTTGGTAGTTAGATATGATGTGTATGTTTGGGTCTGCCTTGCATGTTGCCTAATTCAATGGCTGTGCTTAAGGGGGCATACATTAGTCAGTGCCTCTAAATATATTCTCCCTTTGAAGATGATGAGAAAGCTGTCATCCCCGCAGTGGCTAGGGAGCAGAATCCAGAAGCTGTGCATTCAATACAGATTCTCAAGGGGCGGCAGGAACTCAGTTCCTTGAGCCAGCACTGCTGCCTGTCTGAGTCTTGAAGTCAGGAGCCAGAGATGGGAAATCAATCATGTGCTAGTGTGGGTCATCAGCATCTTAACCAATGTCTTCACCAGTAGCCCAAGTACCCAGCCTTGGCAGTCTTCTTTATTTGGGGATCTTCCTGGAGATTTTTCATTTCTATTTTAAACACCTATTATGGGTCCCGAAAAGTTTTTTTCCTACTTTCTTTTTGGTTTGTTTGTTTTCCTACTTGCTTTATCAGTTAAAAATGTAGTTCCTCTTTGGAAAGGCAAACGTTATCCTATGATGAAACCTCTCACTCAGTTGAAGATATCATTTTATGTTTTCAGTAATAAAGACAGTTTTTACAGGATTATAACTGAAGATGTTAATACAGGGAGTAGGAAGGACACGATCAGAGATAAAGCTATAAATATAAGCTGTGTCAACAGAGCAAACATTTTGACTCCGACAATAAGATGTAATTACCTAAAATAAAACATCTTGGGCTTGGAGTTTGTAGTAGTTTTTATTGAAAAACCCCAAATGTATAAAACATTAATCAAATCTTCAAATGCTATTTCTGTTCTTTCTTGGAGGCATCTTTTGAAAAAACAAACTAAAGCCATGAAGACAAGAAAATTTTATTAGAGTTACATCTTTGTTAAACTCTTTTAACTCTTTCTTTGACCCTGTCATTTTTTAAAAAGGTTTATTTATTTTTATTGGAAAGGCAGATTTACAGAGAGAAGGGGAGACAGATCTTTCTCTGCAAGTTTACTCCCCTAGCTGCTGTCAATGCCGGAGAAAGCTGATCCGGGAGCCAGTTGCTTCCTCCAGGTCTCCCACATAGGTTTAGGGTCCCAAGGCTTTCGGCCATCCTCCACTGCTTTCCTAGGCCAGAAGCAGGGAGCTGAATGGGAAGTGGAGCAGCCAGGACATGAACCGGTGCCCATATAGGATCCGGGTGCATGCAAGGCAAGGATTTAGCCACTAGGCTATCACCCCAAGCCTGGGCCATTTTCTTTCTGTTGCTCTTCCCAGGCCAATAGGAGGAACCTGGGTTGGAAGTAAAGCAGCTGGGATGCCTATCAGCAATGGAATATTGGCTATACAGATGGCAGCCTTACCTGCTAAGCCATGGTGTTGGCTCTTCATTTTTCTTTGCAGTATAAATGAGTTTTCCCTTATTTGCTCTGTACCATCACTTTGTTGTTGTTGTTGTTGTTGTTGTATTTCATAAATTCCATGTGCCTTTGGAACCCAGACCTGAAGCTATGGAACTATATCCAACACTCATCTTCATTTTGCCAGTCTAAAGCTGGAGATTGCTTCACTTTTCCTCTTGAAAGTTGAGCTGATTCATTACCTGATACTGTGGGCGTTGACTAGGTTGAGCCTGGGGGTATTATTTTAATCCTTAAGAAGGATCCCTTGACTCTAGTACCTGGATTCTGAATAAAAATTGAGCTGCAGGAGATGGGATCTTTTGGGACATTTGAACCTACTATATGGTAACTCAGTTACTTTAGATCTAAAAGTTTGTATTTGTTGGAATAATGGCTATATAACTGGCATGGTCCAGAGTCTTACATTTGCATCTTAGGGTAACACTGACCCTATTATAATGTCTTCCATGAATAGCCATAGGAGCTTCAACTGCCATGATCCAAGAAACCACATTTTTCAACTTAAAAACAAATTTAGGCTGATGACCTTTCCCTTTTGCTTTTTCTCTGGCACCTCAGTCCTATCTTCAAAGCATATCCTTCATACAAGCATAAGTAATTCATTCAGGTAATAAAACAGCTAACAGGTAAATACATCCCACTGTGTTCCAGGTACCATTTCTGTACTTTGAGCTCCTTTGGTCATGCCACCACAGCCTGTGTTTTTTAAATTGATGCATACCTTCCACCTGCACAATATTCACTAATTCTGCCTTTACTCAACAAAGCTAGTTCTTCAGTCCAACAACCCAACTTTGTAATGGCTGACTTTCATGTCAGTTTGCTTTCTTTCCTTGTATTTTTTTTAAAAAGATTTATTTTATTTTTATTGGAAAGCTGGATATACAGAGAGGAGAAGCAGAGAGGAAATTCTTCCGGCAGATGATTCACTCCCCAGGCGGCCGCAATGGCCGGAGCTGAGCCAATCTGAAGCCAGGAGCCTCTTCTGGGTCTCCCACGCGGGAGGCAGGGTCCCAGAGCATTGGGCCGTCCTTGGCTGCTTTCCTGGGCCACAGGCAGGGAGCTGGATGGGAAGCAGGGCTGCTGGGATTAGAACCAGCGCCCATATGGGATCCCAGCATGCAAGGCAAGGACTTAATCACTGTGCCATCGCGCCAGGCCCTCTTTCCTTGTATGTTTAATCTCTGCAGATTCTTGTCAGAATGTACCTACCTGCTCCAAGTTCTTACCTGCTTTAGATTTGGGGTGTTTTTGGTTTTTTTCTCCTTTCTCTGTTAGGAAAGGAAGGGATCCTAGGGATCACAGTGAACTTCCTCTCTTTCTATAGTCCCTTTGTTCCTAAAATCTTTTCCTCACCATTTGGCCATCCCAAGTTACATCACATCTTAGTGACCACTGAGTCAATTTTGATTCCTTGCAAAAAACAGCCTTTGTGTAGAGGGCCATGTTATAGGACGGCTCAGAAAAGGCTTGGTAGAATTTTGTAGATAGGACAGTGAATAAGTGAAATAACCACTGTATGCACAGGTGGGACAAGGAGGTTCTCCGATTTGGTGCTTTGTTACAACAGTGGTACTCATCGATGCTGTACACAAAGAGCTGCCGAAGTGAAATACATGAAATCAGTTCCCTTATAGAGATAAAACACATAGAAGAATTCAGGATCTGCAGCCTGGATAGTTACAGTTGTAGTTGGCTGTGATCTTCTCAATACTTTGATACTGTAGTGATTATTACGAAGAATCAGTTTGCCAAATTGCTCTGAGTAAATGGCTGAACTTTCAGGTCAGATTGATTTTATTTCTCTTCCATTTTTAGAGCAAGTCCATGTACTTCAGCTGTCTCTGTGTGTAAAGGTCACTGCTGCCATGATCTTGTCATTCTTTCTGAGAACAGACACCTTCCTTTTATTGAGTACACTGTCGTGATTTTACTCAAATTACTACATGGGAAGTACAGCTGTTATTAACAATTGTTTCCTTTGTGGGTAATAATTGAGAGAGAAGAGGAGATAATGTCCTTTGTAAAGATTAATTCACATTAAAGCAGGTAGCACCCAGGAATAAAGAGCAGACTTTTCACCTCAGGACATTAAGAAAAGAATGTGTATGGGCTTGGTGTTGTGGTGCTGCAGGGTAAGCGACTGCTTACAACACTGGTAAGGGTGCCAGCCTGAGTCTTGGCTGCTTCACTTCCAATTAGCTCCCTACTGATGCACCTGAGAAAGTAGCCAAAGATGGACCACATGCGTGGACCTCTGCCAGTCAGGTGGGAAGCCTGGATTGAGTTCCAAGCTGCTGCCTTCAGCCTGAGCCCTGGCCACTGCATCCACTTGAGCAGAGTGAACTAGCAGATGTTAAGATTTCCACCCCTCTCTGACTCTGCCTTTATATGTGTGTGTGTGTGTGTGTGTGTGTGTATATTGATATATATACATATATATATTATGTTTTAAAAAGATGTTTAGAATCAAAATAAGGCACTCATTTCAGTTAGTCATTTGGAATTAGTTCTCTTATTATTTTAGATGGTAGAACAGTTTTTAGGAAAATGGTGTTATAATAAATAGGAAGGGATATTTCAGTTCTAGTTTCTTAAAAATTGTTGATTTCTGATTTTTCTGTTTTTGTAGGAAGGAATGAAATACTGGCCAGCTTGTGCCCACAGGTGTTTGGGATGTATCTGGTAAAGCTTGCTGTGGCCCTGGTGCTGGCTGGTGGGATTCAAAGGACTGATGCTGCAGGAACACGGGTCAGAGGTTAGTAATGCTTCAGCGTTCTGAGGAACATTAATGCACAGAGAAAAAAGATCTTTCTTTCCTGAATAAGAATTATTTGCTGAGCTTTATTTTCCAAGTGTAAAAAATTTTTAAAAAATCTACACTTAGTTATTTTATTAATGCATTTTTTTCTCAACTATTTCAAGACCTCTTATATTTTGCTCTAGCCTAGTAAGGGTGCTGTAGTGTAGAATTTTTATATTTCTATTACTGTATATCTATTAGATTAGAAGTGTATAGTTTAATGTCTGGAAGTCAGCAGCTCCCTAGTGACTGTTGGCTTGTGTCTGTTGATTCCTCTTCTAGTAAACGGGCCAGTGTGCCCTCTGTTGTGACTGGCTGCTGTAGGCCACACACTTGAGCGAAGATTACTTTGAGCCCATAATGTCTGGATGGCGGAAAGCTCTTGTGCAGCTAATACACTTAACTTGAATCTGGCATAAAGATTTATCTTGGCTCTCAGGTAGATAAGCAAATACTAAAATAAAAGACTAAAAGGATATTATTGTAAGCAAACTGATAGTAGGGACCTGAATAATTAAATATAGAGTTTATGTATATTATATGTTTTGATAACCTATTTGTGAAATATTCTGCTAAATGACTCGTCAAATAAAGGCTTCCTATTAATATATTTACAAAGTCCTCGAGTAGGACGGATTTGATTAATAAGTGAATACACCTACATTCCACAGGATATTCTATGTTCTTCTGTTACATATGAATATGTAAATATGGAAATTATAAATATGGAAAATGAGAATACTTTTAAAATAAAGTCCCCATCACTTCTAAGTGCCTAGATAAAAGAATATTTGTAGGATTCCTACGAAAAACTGTGTCCCTGTAATTTGTTACTTAAAAACAAAACTGAACTTTAAAGGGCAAAATTTTTAAATAGTTACAGAGACTTAACATCTGGGAATATCGCACAACTTATTTAATATAGATCTTAAATGTCAATGTAAGATTGTATTTGATAGTTACCGTCTAAAGACTTTAATTAAACTCTTCCTCAAACTACCTAGTGTAAAACTGTATAGCAAATACAAGTTATCTTTTTGGTTAATTAACACTTATTATTGGGTCCTTTTGAAGAAATAAAAAGATGTCACATATTTACTTATTCTAGGTGAACCTCACCTTTTGCTCGTTGGAGATCCTGGGACAGGAAAATCTCAATTCCTCAAGTACGCAGCAAAGATTACACCACGGTCTGTGCTGACCACCGGAATCGGATCTACTAGTGCAGGTATTTTCTGGGACAATTCTAAGTATTTTAACATTACTACAGAAGCCAACTGTGGTTTTCTTTTGCAACTTTACCTATAGTAGGTTAATTTAATTTTCTAAAGTTACCATCAGAAAATTGATAGGAATAGGTAACATTGCTTTTTATCGCTCAAGAAATATTTTTAAAGTACTACTTTTTTCTATCAATTTGCATGTTAGTTTTGACTAATTCCATTTGATTTTCTAGTGAACAGTTTCATATGCATTCATGAAAAAAAAAGTGTGTCATTTGGTAATTTATGAAGACTTAAAAAAACAAATGTTAAAATATCAAGTGGGGGAAATTTCACCTTCTAAGAATAGACGGCTTAGAGCTTAAAGCACCTCATGGATGAGTAACTCCTACTGGAGTTTCTTTGGCATACATTTGTCTATTAGAAAGCATGTTTCTGATTATTTCTCTGTGGGGCTTCATCAACTGTAATGTCAGTATATGAATATAAAGTGATTTAGGAAAATTTTTTAAATTGTGTTCTGGTTTTATTTTACAGTATTGATCGCAGTAGTATCTAACATTTTATAAATTTTACTTTCTCTTTGTAAGGGCTTTTAAATTCCATGGGCTATGCTCCCACATCTCATAAACTTACATTTGTCACAAGACATATGATGCTTTACTAGTGATCCCAAGTATGTTGTAGAGGAGCTTTCTGGTTTTGAACTATATAACTGAACAAAACATTAAGCATTGAGAAGAGGGATTTTTTAATTGTCAAGGGACAAGCTTCAGGACCCTGGAAGGGAAGTAGAGAAAATATACAGAATACTTTTTGTACATTTAAAACTCTTATGATTCAGTGTTCTAGAATTCTTTTAAGTGCTACTAATAACAAAGATGTTTTCCAAGTAGTTACATGAAGTGTTTCTCAAGCAATTATATGCAATGTCAGGAAATCAGTCTTAAGCTAATTTTATGAGCTACTAGGAATTTGTTTATTTGGGCAGTTTTATAATGAATAGCTGCTGATTTCTCACTGTACTAGTGAATTGTTGTAAAAGTATATTACCTTCATTTTTTTTTCCTTCTTATGCCAAGATAATGAGAAAAGACAGAGGAAATATAAATTTTAGAATCAAGATACTGCCACTTAAATAGAAAGGACCAAACTTACATTGCAACCCATTAGTCATAAAAAATCAATTCATTGGGTCAAATCCGCACTTTGAAAATGTAATACAGTAAAAATAAGGATACTGCAGTACTGTGTGTTGTAAAAGTGCACTAATGGGGGGGTAAAGCCCTAAAGGGGACATCTTCTTCATAATTTTTAATGACAATATATCCTAGTGCTGCAAGGCCTTTTTTTTTTTTTATAAACTACCCATAAATGCGCTTGGTGTATCTAAAACCAGAGAGTAAGACCATGTAGAAGCCTACGTTTTTAGCATGCTATGATGGGTGGATACAAGCTTGCTTCCTTAGGTTCCTTAGATGACACCATCCTCTCTAATCTGCCTGACCTATCCGCCGTGGCATACAGTGTGTTCATGTTCACAAGCTCAAGATAAGTTATTTACTCTGATCAGAAGGGGTGGGGGGAGGTAGTTAACCTTCCAGCTGTTTCTCTGCAAATCAGGCTAAACAGGAAATCTAGGTGCTAATTTTTAATCAGTTTTCTTTTAAATTTCATAAAACTATCAAGTTTGATAGCTCATGGTTTCTAAATCCCAAACTTTGTGAATATTAACAAATTAAAATAAAAATCTAACACTGATATCACTTCAGATTGATCATAATTAGAATAGAAACTCAGCAGTGAGTTGTCTTACTTGGCTGTATGTATTTTGTTTCCGACAAGGACGTCTTGTTTCTGCTGTATTAATCACTGAGGTCTTTGTTGGAAAGTGTTTTATTTTCATTTTATTTTTTTTTAACATTTTTTCTTAATTGCAATTAGACAAAAAGACTTTATTCTCAAAGTTTTAACAGTCGGAAGTACTCTGCCTTTAAAAATCTGAACTAGTTAATGGACAATATTTTAATAACCTGGTATATTAAATTTCAAAGTTTAACATTTAGCAGAACTGCTTCACAAATTCACTTTTACAGGAATTATTACAACCTAGAACCCAGATTTAACAAATGCCCTTCCTTTCCTCAAAATAAACTTTTAAAAGTGCAGTATAAAAGTTTTAGATATAAAGGCACTGCATAACCTGCATCATATGGCTGTCACTCTTTGCAGCAAGAATAAAAATATTCTACCCTTAATTTAATGAAGCATAAGGAATTCCTGAAGAACCTAGCTCTCAAGTAAAAACTTTTGGCCCACTTGATGAATTTCCTTCCCAAGGTTGCTTTTCAACAAGTTGTAATTTGGCAAAGCAATCTCAAACATATCTACCACACTTGATCTTATTCTTAATGAATGTCAGAAGATATGGGACAGGGAGGTATTTCCAACGCTGTACCTTTTATGATAAATCTAAAATCCTTTACTAAATGTACTGTTGCCAACAATAGATGCTTTACCGAAAGAATTTTTAAGAATTCATAGTATAGTTATAAATCCAGTGATATTTGAGCCATTAATCTCTGGTCCTTAAACTATGGAGTTTTTCTATCTGTTCTTGATTTGTTGAATTCATTGAGCAGTAGTGATAAACAACCTAAGTGCTTCGATGCCTTAATTCTGTAAAAACAAACCGTAAGCACGCAGGCACATTTGTTATCTTCAGAGGAACTAAACCAAATGCTGCCCCACATTGTATTAATTGTAATAGTAGCCAAAAGAGGCTTCAGGGTGGCCTGGAAGAATCAGATCCTAATATCCTTGTAGCATGTAATAATTTTCAATCCCTCCTTTTAAAGTGATGCCAGAAGGCAGAAACGTTGAAGTTGAAGTGAACTTTCTGCTTCCAAAGACCAGCAAAAATAAAGTTCCAAAGATTACTATCTGAGCTGAGACATCTTCATGACCTGTTCTAATGACTTATATTGTTCTTAAGTGCTTTAGTTACATATAAAGGAGAAGAAAATAATATATATGCTTTAATCAGATTAGTTTCATAACAAATAAAATAACACATTAGAGAAGAAAATTACTTAAAAATAGTTGTATTTATATTCCACAATTTGCTCAAATACTGGTTTTCTTATAAACTTTCTACAGGATGTTTTTAAACAAATTTCTTCACATTTTTGTCTTGACTATGTACTTACGGAATTTCAGGGAAATAGTTCTGTTTATTTTTAATAGCTTAATTTGTACTAAAGGGATGGCAAGTGGTCACATGCAGTCCATGTGGGATTCTAACATGACATTGAGTGAGTTTTCTGACGTGGACCATCCCTTTGAGGCGGAAGGTAATGCATCTGTTGAAAGAAGTGACTGGAGGTTTGGATTGCTGCTCTCTGCATCTTCCAGTTTTTCTGTGTTGTCTTCCCAATTAATGTGGAATCTTGTGACCCTGGGATTAGATGCCAAAATGTTCCTTTGAAGCTAGAGGAAGGAAATACATTAATGGTAAATATTACCAAACTTAACTCACCTTGGGCAAATAGAAACTTAATGAATCGTCATTTATGTTAGAATTTCTAAAGGGATTAATTCATATGCAAAGATATAGAGCAAATAAAGCACTTTCACCATAACTGATAAATACGCACTAGTATGATGTCTAGTAATTATTTTAAATAGGAACAAGAGGACACTCATTCAGATCTTTCACTCTCCTGTGAACTCTCTACTCTGCTATTCTTGCACTTCGATTTCTTAGAGATTTCTTCCAAATAGAATTTTTTGTTACTAGTGATTCATGATTTTAAGTGTCATGGTTTATTTTAGTTTCTTCTCTTTTTCTGCTGTACAAGGTACTTAACAGATAACCAATGACTTTGAGCCACTGAAGAATCAGCTAGGATGGGAAGCACTCTAGTTTTATTATCCAGAACTTTGGATTCTGCTATGAGTTTTCTTGTGTAGTCTGTCAGACATCCTGCTTGCAAATCATCAGTTACTAAGCTCTTATCAGTTTCCAATGAAAAATCACAAAGGTACTCGGTATCTTTGAGAATATGAATCATAGCTTTCGCCTTCTCACTTTTGAAGCTGTTTTCTATCATAAGAACTATTTAAGACTTTTAAATTTATGCTGAAGGCTGAAGGTTACTTTAAAACACACAGGTACTCTGATATGAATGTAGATACATGTTTATACGAAAAGCAAACAAAGCACCCATGATTTTGAGGAATCACACATATAAATGTTACTGCATAATAAGTACCTTAAGTATAAACTTGCATGTCATGAAGGTTGAAGAGAACATGATCTAAGGGAAATGATATACTGAAAACTTAAGTGCCTGTTTCTTACAAGAGATACTGAAATTTTTAAATCATCTGAGAACTTCTGCTCAATATTAATTATTAATTTTTTAAGGATTTATTTATTTATTGGAAAGTCAGATATACAAAGAGGAGGAGAGACAGAGAGGAAGATCTTCCATCCGATGATTCACTCCCCAAGTGAGTACAACGGCTGGTGCTAAGCCGATCCGAAGCCAGGATCCAGGAACTTCCTCCAGGTCTCCCATGCGGGTGCAGGGTCCCAAAGGTTTGGGCCATCCTCAACTGCTTTCCCAGGCCACAAGCAGGGAGCTGGATGGGAAGTGGAGCTGCTGGGATTAGAACTGGTGCCCATATGGGATCCCAGCGCATTCAAGGCAAGGACTTTAGCTGCGAGGCCATGGTGCCAGGCCCCTCAATATTAATTATTAATGACTCAAGTGGAGGTAGGGTTTGAGGTAACCCATGGTTTTGTACAATGGTTAGTTTGCCTAGTTGGTACAAAGATCTTAAATTTGTTGTCTTAAACTGCCTAAAAATTGTGTAATAACAGTGATTTAAAAAGGAAAGCAAGTCATACCTTAGAAAAGTCTGGTTTTACTGGCGGATTTTCCCTTAATTCTGTCTCAGTATATTCGTTATTTACATAGTAGCCAACTCTAATAAATTC